CAAAAGCCTGTATAACACACACACACACACACACACACACACACACACACACACACACGGTTTATACACAATACCTAATAAGAGACTTTTTTTAAATTACAACATTTAATGACATACCTTGTAAACTTCACTAAAGCCTCCTCTCCCTAGAAGGTGCAGGAGCAGATATCGTTCATTCAGCGTTGGGTGATCTTTAAATCTTAGGATGGGACAAAAAAAAAAAAAATAAAATAAATTAAAAAAAAAAAAAAAAAAAGGCACAGAAAACAATTCCAATTACACTTATAGATCCAACTACCAATAACATTCTTGAGCATCAGCTTTGCTATGTCATGATAAATGTTTTAACAGTCAGGTCAGCAGGTACAGTGCTACTTAATGTCACTGCTATGGCTTTACTGGCCTCGTGTTCCAATGTCAAAATAGTTAATGTCAAGGAAATTGATTCACACTCACTGTGAAGTGTCTTCGTTATTTATTCTCTTCAGCTCCCGAATGTGAAGGTTGCGCACTCTCTCCAGACGCTCCAGCTCCGCCTGGATCTCAGCTTCTTCCTATAAATGATTTAAGCCCACAGACAACTTCAGAGTAGCGACTACAAGGAGAGAAGCTCCAAAAAACCCTTGTACAGAGCTGATTAGTTCAGTATAAAATTTTAACTATACTAATATTGAAGACAATGTTACATTTACTCCAGTGAGGTTTTCTAAACTGTATAAAATTGGATGAGTAACTCGTGGAATGAGTTGATACATGAAGACAAGCAAATTCTCCACAGTACTAATCGCAAGCAGTTTGCCACATTCACCATGAGACAAACCTTCTTGAGATGTCCAAGTCGCAGTTTGAAGATCTCTTCCTGTTCATGGTATTCTGCTAGTGTCAGCCTTTCCAGGATGAGTGTCAAAAAAGAAAAGCATTTGTTTTTGGCAACAGAATCGCCATGTTAACTCAGATGATTACAGTTATTTACTTACTGCACACACAATAATGTTAAACTACAATTTCTACTATAACAATAAAACTAAGACTACACTGAACTTGATACAAGCACAAGGCCTGGACTCACAGCTGAGGTAGGCTGGGTTTTAGAAAGGGATCACTTTCTGCTCCATTCACTGCCTTGGTTTTACGTTGCTTTGGCTCAGAGTTTGTGGTGGGTGCTTGGGCGTTGCTGAACGATGGAGGTTTCCTCTTGGCTAGAAGTTTTCTCTGCCTCTCAATGTCCTCCCTCTGTTGGTTTATCCACTCTTGTTGTCTGCAGATAGAAAACAGTGCTTTTTGTTCACTTAAAAATTATAGACTGCAGCACGGAAGGTAAATACTAGAAATACAGGTCATGCATGACAAAGCCAGTACTTGGTGGACTGTTAATGTGAAAGACCAGTATGCGACTGGTCAAGACGTTTTGATGCATGGCACAGTGTTGTGTTGTAGCAGAAGCTGAGCTCTCGTGTTGGCACCAGACTGGCGACTGATCAGGCTGCTTTGTATCACTTTTGCCCACTGCAGTGAGCTGGGGAAAATCAATATATCCACAGGCTACATAAATAAGCTATTTCTTCATGATGAGCTTACACGAAAACTATTTTGTCCAGTACATTTGTGCTGTTTGTCCACCTGGTGAAGACTTTCCCTTGCTGCTGTTCTGATGACAAAGGCACAGAATGCAATGCTCACGTCTCACTTCCAGTGGGTTTTCCCAGTTAGAATAAAGAATGATTAAACAATCTCAACTAAATGATCTTACTTGACAAGGTTTTGGAAGGCATAACCATCTGTCCACTGTTCTGTGAATGAGGCTCCATGTCTCACTGTAGTAAAGTGGCCTAAACGTAGTCTATCCTGCATGCTCTTCTCCCGACAGGCCTGTTTCTCTTGGTTACTCTGAAGAACGATACAAAATATAGGTTTGCATACAGTCTTGAACACACCTACTAATGCTGAGACTTAACGAGTTAAGAAAAACAAGACATTTACCTTTTCTATAAGCAACTTCTTGCTCATGGTGATGCACTTATTCAAGCATTCCTTGTACTTTTCAAGTAATTTTTGTTGCTCATCTATCTGTCTCCTGAGATCACAGTTTGCCTGTAAAGCAGAAATAAGCACTACTTCAGGAACTGCACAAGTTACATTATACTCCCAAGCCACCAAATATATATTGTGTACTGTAAAATGTTTGCTTATAAAGTTCGCAGACAACACAAATTAAGGTCTCTTTTAAATTCTGAAACACTACTATGACCAGATTTTTTACATTACTGGTCATGAGGCCTCATTAGAAAGCAACAAACAGTAAAAAGTTCTTCTTACCCTTAGCAAATCATCTATTCGCCCTTCTTTCTTCTCAAGGTCTAGATTCTTAGTGCTTTCAAGGGCAGCCAGTTTCAACACTGTAAGGTCAGTCTAGGGTGAGAAAACAACAAAACAGTTTTAAAAAAACTTGCCCAGCAATCTTAAATATATTTAAGAGTGCTTACAAAAACTGTTTAGTGACTGGACTATCAACAGTCATCTCCGTCACCTGAACCAATTTGACTGCTAGTTGCTTTGGATGCATCATGTGGTCCCCAAAAGACGGACTAGTAGGAGATGAGCTATTTTGCCTAACCTGCAAAAAAAGAGACAGCAATTCTTTTATGACAAGGGAAAGCCAAATGGTGCAGCAAAGTAGATTTTGAATACAAGTTATGTCCATACAGCAGTGCCCTGAGTGGAGTGGGAATGTGAGTTCTGCGGTGAACGAATGGGTGGGAGACCTCTAACTGGACTGGACCCATTTCCTCCCTGGAACTAAATAGTAAAGAAAGAATGAGTACCATCACTGCCTAGCATGTGTCAACAGCTGACCTGTCATACTACTGTTATTTTAGAGACAGGAAGTTGATTATGCATCAGATGTTGAACAGAGACTAATATAGCTCACATTATTCGCTCAACATTTAATTTCAATGTAGGAAATATTTGACACCAAATAAAAACCTACATCAAAATAATCACTTATTTTGGGTCCTCGCACAACTGATTTTCCTGTTAAGAGAGAGAGAGAGAGAGAAAAAAAAAGAGCGAAAAAGGGTGTTGGGATTTATTATAGCACTTCAACAGGAACAGAGCAGTAAGCATGAACTGAAATAAAACCAGTTAAACACAAAGAGACTCACCCTGGCTGCTCTCTGAGTGGATGTCAGGTTTTCTTTTTCTACCTCTAGTTGTTTCGGACTGTTTCTTCTCTGGGGTCTGAAAGAGAACATTTATTCAACAATGTTTAACTTAACAAAAGACTTTTGACTTCTATCATGACTCGCTTCTGTTGTAGCTACATCACAATACTGTTTGTGCGAGGCTGTCTGTAGTCTAAATCATGCTGACAAACAGAAGCTGCATTAGACAAAATTTTTGTTAAAACACCAAATCAAATGAGTTACCAATGTGAAAGTGCTGCTTAAAATGACCATCACTGATTTCATCCATATCAATTAGATTTTATTTTGACTTGTTTTCTTGGTAATAATCTCATCTTACTTGTCCTTGTTACTTCAGTCTAGTCAAAGCCTGTTCCAACAGCATTAGATCTATTAATTGTTGTGTAATAAAGTATATTCTAAACTAAAACTTTAAACCTGAAAAAAACAAAACAAAAAAAAAAAAGCAAAACACTAATATGATTACTCTTACAATTAATTCTTTGTTGAATTTCACTTGCAATACAACACTTAACCCAGAGGTATCACTGCGGACAACAGCGTTGAGCTATGCATGCTATTAATAGTGGTGGACGGTCAAACAGCAACAGCTATGATCAGCATAACTACTCATGTTCAGATTTGATCATATGCCTACCGAATAAGCCGGAGAACTGCCTCTTTTCATCTCTGACCCCTATGAAGTGAAAAAGCAAAGTGAGAAACCACAAGAGCAAACATGTCCAGACTCTGTTTACAAGACAGTGAGAGACCTTTTACTAGAGTAGTACTTCATTACTTCGTCACTTCAAGAAAGAGATGACAATTCTTCAAGAATGACCAGAGAAAGTATGCAAATTAAGTCGATAATTAGCAATTGTCTACTGCTGAATTTCTACCAAATCCAACCAACATCGGGCAGTCAAGGCATTTGTCAACATGTGCTGGTCTGGTAAATTATGACCACGGCAATCCAGTTTGAAGGCTTATTAAACTGTGCCAATGCAGTAATCCCACTAAAATAATTGAGGAGGCTTTTGTTGGGCTGAATGCTGTCCTACACACTAATCCATGGGGAGACTGAGGTTCACAGGTCCCAAGGCTAGGCCATGAAGTGTCATGCAGTGGAAATCTATCAAAGATTTGCTATATACAGCACTGGGATGATGGTGTTCATGATATCCGTTAGATGAACCCCTAATACCTAACCCAAAAAGAACACCAAAACTATTGATCTGCAGGAACCATCTCTCCAAAAGGCAGAAGAGATCATCCCATGTCTGTTAAAGACCCATTTCAAATTAATGAAAGAAAAAGACCTTCAGCTAAGAACTAATATGACAGACCACTGCTATTCGCTTATTGGACTACACTCCTCATCATTAAGCAAGAATATTGTGGAACAGCTCTAAAAGTACCCTATAAAAAAAAGACATCTTCAGAAAAGTCAGAGATAGTTTTTTCTGGTTCACTGTAAATAGGTTTTTGAGTTGGGCAAATGATTTAGACCTGTACCTCTGACTCCTTGTCGCTTGAAGATCCCAGGCTTCCAAAACTGTGATTTGAACATTCATTATTGGTCAAACCCTGAAAGAATATTAAAGGATAAGACTAAAAATAGTACTTTGACCAATTATTCCATTCCCACACTGACATAACTGACACAGCTAAATATTCACTCACTTTGGTTCCCCCACTTGTGCTGCCAGTGCTGCCCCCTGTGCTGCCGCTGACCCCACCCATGAAGCGTGCCTCCAGCAGCTCCTGTCTCCGGGGGTCCAGGCTGTGCAGCTCCTCCATGGTGCCTGGGAGGAATAGCAACAGACATAACAGTAAGATCATCTTAATTTAAGCCGCTGAATGCCCATTTAAGCAGATGACACAGTAGCAATGAGCTCAAGACTTGACTTATGATTAATCTAATTTACAATCTCAGGTGATAATGTTTCAGTCTAGACCAGAATACAGGCCAAAACCAAATGCACGCCTATTCCCCAATGACATTCCCAACACAGATTTCATGCTACATCTCTGTAGCACTGAAGATATGAGAAAGACTTTCATTACGTTTCCTGCTGTTACCACTACAGCTCGTAGCAGCGTAACATACAAACCTAACCAAAATAATTCAATACAACTCAAAATTCAATGCAGAATACAAATTCAGATGCAACAGGCATTTCTGTGCCACAAGCTCTATTATCATGAGAGTCCGAGAGTAATGTTTCGACTGCTAGGCCATGATTAATACAGCGCCCCTGTGGGACTGTTAACGTGAGCTCCCGGGGCTTCAGTGTTGCTACAGACTCTGAGGAGTCTGCCCACTAAACCTGTGCTTTACAGAGACAACCATTTTGAATCTACAAAGCCATTCTGGCACTATTTATCCACAAATCTAAACACACACACACACAAAAATTATTTAAGAACATACTGGAATTGTTCTTTCAATTCTGAAGTACAAATACATTTTGCAGCTGGTTTTGTGTACGACATCGATGGACTGGAACAGATTTGAATTAACAAGGATTAGTCCAAAGCATCAAATCTAGATGAACACAATCTTAATCACCTATTTAAAAAGGTACACACCCATCAACTGTGAAACAACATAAATTAGTCTTCATCCTTGAAAACTACCAGCAACAACAAGTAGGGGAATGAGAACAAGACACACAATATGGACCAGAAGAAGTATGCCATGAAATCATGTAATACATTCCAAATGTGTTTTCAGCTAATCAGGAGAGGCAACAGGAAAAGAAAAAAACAAACAAAAAAAACAAAAACAAATTCAGACCAAGTTTTACATTTCAAAGCAATATTCGGACATCTTAGAAATGGAGTGAATTCGTCATTTCTTCTAAAACAAATGAGCCCACTGATAAGTTATGCCTTACACACAGGCCCAACTCAATGTGCAACAAGAACCAACTTGACAGATGTGTTGTAACAGACAAGATACAGTCACCTTATTAAATGATACACCCTTGCAACTATTCCCCCCCCCCCCCCCCACCAACATAAAAACTAATAAAAAAACCAAACAAAAAGTATAACATGTCTCATGTCATTAATTCAAAATCACCTTTAGTTCATCAGTGTCATCCACAAATTCAGCTGCAAAAATGTGCTTATAGTTAATTAAGAATATTCAAACGCATTTAAAAGTTTACTAAAACTAATATTTTCTAATTACTAGTGTGTTATTATCAATAGAGGTGTGACGAGATCTCTTGTCACAAGCTCTCACAATATTAAAGCATGATATTTCTTGTAAAGGTAAGAGCTGTCTTGCAATATTAATAGTCCAACAAAAACGCAACTTCCTGCTATGTTTTGACACACGGGTCTGCGTTGGCCAGGGGGTGAGGGGATGCAGAGGGAGTGTTGTCGTGGTGAACATTGTGACGAGTCAATGGGAGTGGATTAATCTGTTTCCAGCCTGTGAGTTTCTGTTATGTTTTGGTTAGCCATGCTAACATAGACTATGCCTAGCTCTTAATGTAGCCTACTTGGCACCAATTCTACCACCAGTGTGTCTACATTGATTTTAAAAAGTTTAACATTCAGTACTAACAAAACTGCATGGGGTGTCATTATAGTGTGTTAACTGTGGCCCAGATTCGACAGTGAATAGCAGTGAATGCTCACGCTAACAAGGTAAACAAAAGTGTCTTCTTCCAGTGGGAATGATTATTATCGTTCCCTGTGTGTGATTGGTCAACGCAATGCCTTTGCCACATGTCGTCACCGTCTGGTGTGGTGCACTGAGGGTGAAAATAGCACTGAAGGTCACACACAACTTCAGTAAAAAGTTAGAAGTTGATGCACAGTTAAGATCTGAGAGACTCATGTGAAATCATACAAGAGAGAAGCCAGTCAGCTGAGTTTGTGGCAAAGCCTTTTACAGTGTTTGCATATTGTTGTCTTTTACTACATATGATAATTTATACTCAGAAAGTAGAACTGAACTGACATTCATTACAAAATGATTAGTTAAAACATTTCAAAATGCACCTGCTGTGTTTTGCATTTTGTGACTTTCAGTCAACACTTTTTCCAGTCATATTTCATCACTGAAGATTTCTTAAAAATAGTATTAAAATATCATATCTCGTTCTCATGAACCCAGTATCTTGTATCGTCTCATGGTGTGAGCTAAATGTACACCCCTAATTAACAACCCAACAGAACAAGCACTAGCTTATACCTGGCTCTGGCTAAACAAGCAAACTGTTAACCTACCAACCAACCATATACAATGAGACCAACCACCATGGTGATTGTTTTGACTCAGCAACATGGACATCTGTGTTGTTTAAAACATTAATGGGTCAAATCTTAGTTACAATCAGGCAACAGGTCCATCTCCTCTTCCTAAGAAAAGTACATTGGTCACATTTCCTATGATGGGTCTGGGTTTCTAATCAGATCTGCCGTCTATTTTGCTGAAGAAGTCCACTACTGCAGTCATCTGTCTTACACAACTATATTATGGATGATGCATGTGTACAATGCATGTGATTCATGCAGTGAATAAATGGCTGACATTTTCAGTGTTGCGTCATAACTTAAGCAACATAAGCACTGCAATATTTACTAGAATCCATTGTTGTAGCTGCTCATATTCATCATATTAAGATTCTATGATTGTACAAGAGGCTGTAGCTTTGAAACACTTCCTTCTGCTTTTTGGTACAATCTTGGTTTTTCTGAGATAAAGCCATAGCCACATCTCATCTTTAACCCTGAATGTTCATGTCAGTTTCACATCATTAATACAAATCTGCCATGGTCTCTCTCCCTCTGTGATTTCCCTTCATTTCCAAACAAGAAAGCTAATGCATAACTATGATCTATATTCAAGTCCCTACAGGAACAAGTGGTTGAACCTTGCATTGGCAACTTTGGCTTACAAAACAACACAAACAGTCTCACCATTTCGATATTTCCAGGTGTCATACTAATGTAGGCAGCCATCACTAATTAATCTCAATCAGTGCATATAACATTGCTAACACAAAGAAATGGGCTACCTAAAGAAAAAAAGTTCTCCTTTATTACTGTATAATATCCTGTGAAAATTAAGCTTAGTCAGGGTGGAAGCCGGTATGATTAACAGTGGCTGATTGACATCTAAATACACGTGGTGTCCATCATTAATCAGATATTTGATTGCGTAACGTTGTGGGTTAGCAAGTAGCATAGCCCAAAGCAGCGCGTATCCCCATGGGTCAGTTTTTGTTAAGGCATCTAGCGTTATATGAACATCTTTACCCTAAGTGTTAGTAATGCTAAAAGGTCAAACGAGGCGTCCTACCATCCAATACACTAGCATCTATATCATCTACAGCAAATGGCTTTCGTAAAAGAGCAAAGCCACACTTAATGTTCGATACACAGTTTACTGTCATCATGCCTCTCTAGACTCTTCTGTACTGTTAAGATGATGAACAATGTCAGGTACACATGCACAGATATAGTTAACATTGTTAGTATTGCAACCCTACTAACAACACACAAATGAGTACTAATAATGCCCAGCACACCTTGCTACAAATCCAGTGATATGTTAAGCATCACAAGAGATCGCTTGGTTTCTTCGCTTGCTTTTGCAAATAAATTCTTACATCTAGAGGTAACTTGACCAACGTTAGTGTTGCTTTCATAACAGTAGCATGCTTAAAGCAGGACGCACAGACTACAGCTGTAACCTTTCTGCTCTCGTAAAAGGTTATCGCCATTATCCATATAAGTGTCTTTAGGTCCCTGCACTGGCCTGAGCACAGAGACACGGTCCGTCTTCTGTGCTACTAGCCAGCCAAACAGGCTCAATGGACTTTGGAGCTGACGCGTTACTGTAACGTTAGCTAGCAGGTAGGCTTCGCCACCAAGATTTACTTGGCCTTTTTAATACAACTGCATTTCGCTCTGCACAAAATGTCACCAAACAAATAGGATAAACATATACACCGTAAAATGTTTCACGATACCTTCCTAGGCCTTCACCACTGCCGTGGTATGTTGCAGAAAACACCGTCCGTATCGGGGACGTGGAGAGCTGGGACCAAAGATGGCGTCCCCTCCAAACTTCCACCACTTTGGACACTCATCAAGCTACTTTTCGTGTGTAGGAACTGTGCACGGTTATTTTTTCACCCTGACTGTGAAATTAACCGACTGGCGTATCGCCGTTGGTTTTTACAGGGGTACAGCGACTGCCACTGAGTGAAAGTATCTAATTATTTTCTGGTTTAGGACACAAACCTCTTCACCCCTTGGCAGCACGTCCTCCCGGCTGCAGGACTACCTCTCCGTCTTCAAGTGGTTGCCAATGAAACGTCATGCTCCGTGTGCAAATTCTTATCGCGAGGTGATACAGTTTTTTCGATGACAACCTGAGATGTGCAGGTTATTAAATTACATTAAATACAACACATGAACTGTGCAGCAAGTTTGTACACATGCTGTAGATGTCATTTAGTCACTGGCAATCGTGATGTTCATAGCTCAAGAGAATTATTTATTTTTGTTTAAAAAAAAATAGTTCTTCAGGTCGATAATCAACAAGTTACAGAGGCCAATTTCTACAAAAAAAAAAAGAAAATGAAGTTTAGGTATTGAATAAATACGAAGACTAGGACAGACTGAGGAGGCATGTAACACTTGGTAAGTTGTAACCCTCTCTGTGAGCAGAAAGTACAATTTTTTATGAAGATTATTTTTGACTAGTTTTCATTGTATTGTAGACTTACATAGCCAAAAGCAGCAGTTTGTCTAGTTTAATTTGATGTTTCAAACCTGCATGCTAAAATGACTGTTTGGGGTGGGGATGGTTGTAAACATGCATCTTCATGTGACCATCCCCTTATCCCCTTATCCCCTGAAGGCCAGTAACCAAAATTCTAACATCTCTGATGATGAGAATCTCTGCATTGTGTGGGTCAAGGAAGTACTTTGTCAGTTGCCCAGAAGACCTGTGCCCCAGGGGCAGCTCTCTACATTTGTCAGGTCTATGACAGTGATCAAACCTTTATGTGACACATGCACATTTTGAAAGACAGACACCCTCCAGCCACACACACACACACACACACATATATATATATCCTTGTATTTGTCACTGTAGGTCTTTGCATTGACTTAAATTAAATTCCTAGACTTACCCTAACCTTTACCCCAACATGCCTAACCCTAAACCTAAAGTGTCTTTTTACCTTTTATTCAAAACTGGTCATTCTGTATTATATTATTTCAGCAAATAATGTCTTGCTGTTACACCCACCCCCAGCTAGTGTTACAATTCACCCCAGTAGTGGGGCGGGTTGTATAGTAATAACAGAACTCTTTGCTTTTGATTTTAGCTCACATAATCTGTGATTGTGTAGTCATTGTCCAAGTGCGTTTTATTTGTAGTAGAAAAATATGGGTACCATGTATTAAAGTTTGAGAGAGATAGAACAAACAGCCATGGAGTTACTGATGCTCAAACAAAAGGTGTTACAATCATCCCTGGTCTCCCCTACATCACATTTGTAGATATTATGCCAGAATTGTCAGACAAAATTATCTTAAGCATTGAGCATGAAAAGTGTGAACATATTTATGGTAATAATTTTGACTTTGTAAGTTGGTTTAAGATAATAGGCCAAAATTTTGACTTATTAGCAAAAAATATCAGACACAAATTACCTGAAGAGTTAGGGGAAAAAAAACAGTATCAGTAGTGAAAAAGATCAGAATTAGCTGCTGAGTATTATTATCTTTATTTTATCTTGTATAACTTATCAGTATTTTCTTTTCTAAATGGGCTTAGTGTGGCCTAACAACAAAAAAATAAAAAAATAGAACCATTAATTTAATTTCAATTATTATCAAAGTTTTACATTTTTAAAGCCTAATGCATCTTGAATTGTTTGTCCCTGTGAACCTGTCCTGAATAAATTCTCCCAATATTAACACGGTGCTCTACAGTGCATAAAAACCCAATGCAACAGTTATGTTTGACAATATGTTTTACAAGGTCATTTCACAGTTTTGTTGTACACCTACACAGTTTTTTTACCCAAACAAACAAACAAAAAGAGAAAAAAAAGAATGAATAATATAGAATATATAAAAAGGCATATAGGTCCAAATGAGGCTGTAGGCTACTTATTGAGGCGTTAAGATGGTGACGGTGGATATGATTTCCAGTACTTGCTTTGCATCCAAACCCGGTGCATTACAACTTTCTTTTTCCTGTTCACTTGTAGCCGTCTGTCCTCCAGATTCTGAATTTCTTCCAGTCCAGCTTTAGAAAATAAATCATGAACCTCTTCTGTAAAACATAAATAAAAACACAGTCAGCAACCAAGGCTTTAGGCACAATTTTAGAAATATCACCCCAGAAACGCTTTGACACCAAATATAAAGTCTCACAACTGTTTTAATTATTTGGCACACAGTACTATCTTAAAATATCCACCAATGCAGAATGTAAACTCCCACCAGGTTCCCATAAACCCCTACAGTGATCTCAGTGTCCTCATTGGTACCCATGGCACTGTCAGCAACTACTGCAGAAAATAAAATGGAGCAAGTGTAGTCCAAGAATACCTTTTGTGAAAAAATAAACACAGGTTCCATCTCCACGTGTGTAGAAATTCTCAGATAAGCACCGTCCTGATGGTAAAAGATTTGATTAAATAAAATAAAAATGTATTCAAGTGTCCACACATACAGAAGGGTGTACAGAATATACAACAAATAACGTGAAGTACAAAAAAAGATTATATTGAGGTAAGGGTTATTTGGAGGCTCACCCTTCTTAAACCTCAGCTGTGTGAAGTCATATCTCCCATAATCACGGAAGAGGAATGTACCTCCATGTTTCAAAAATGTCGATAGTCGGTTCACAACTCCCTGTATTCTGTCAAAGGAATGTCAATCGATCAATCAATCAGTCAATCAAAACTTTACTAGTTCCTTTCATACAGGTCAATGCAAGTCAAAGTGCTTTACAAATGACTATATTTATATGTATAAAATGGACAAAAAAAAATCACAAAATAAGATAAAAAAAAACAAGACAGAAATGGTAGTAAAATCTAAATGGACTGTATTTATATAGTGCATATTTCACAGTGTGTTACACTGGCCAAAGCACTTTACAGGAGATCATACACCATTCACACACACAACGAGAGGCTGCCGCACACTGGCGCCAGTCGAACCACCGGGAGCAATTTGGGGTTGTGTCTTGCTCGGGGATACTTAGGCATGTGGGGAGACCGGGAGTCTAACCACCAACTTGCTGGTTAGAAGACGACTGCCCTACCTCGTAAGCCACAGCCGCCTAATCAATCAGCACCTAATCAAAAGCCAGGCTAAAGACGTAGGTTTTACACTTTTGGCGGCGCAGATTAAATCATCATCATCATCATCATCAACTTTATTTATATAGCACATTTAACACAGCAACAGCTGACCAAAGTGCTTAACACAAAACACAATAATAAAACAAAATTACAATTAAACAACCACCCATCATAAAACAAAAATCCTCAACAAAACAAAGTCTCATACCGGTTCAAATGCCAAACGGTACAGATGAGTTTTCACTTTAAAAATGGACAATGAGGGGGCCTGCCTAATGTATAGGGGCAATGAATTCCACAACTTTGGAGCCCCCACAGCAAAAGCCCTGTCCCCCCTAAGTCTCAGCCTAGCCCTCAGTATCTCAAGTAGCAGCTGATCTGAGGCACCGAGAAGGACTATAGGGACGCAACAACTCTGTAAGATAAGAGGGGGCCAGACCATTTAAAGACTTATAAGCAAATAAAAGAATCTTAAAATGAATTCTAAAATACACCGGCAGCCAGTGAAGAGAAGCCAAAATGGGAGTGATATGCTCCCCTTTGCGCTCCCCAACCAGTAAACGAGCAGTCGTATTTTGAAGTCTCTGAAGACGGGCAAGGGACGTCTGACTAAGCCCAAAATAGAGCGCATTACAATAATCCAGGCGAGACGTAATAAACGCATGTATTGCGTAAATCCTTGGTTATGTACTAGAGACAAATTCCTTGTGTGGGTAACATACTTGGCCAATAAAAGTGATTATTATTATTATCAATGTCAGTGCCTTTGGTAAAACTATAGCCTAAAAATTTAAATGTGTATGCTACTATCCCCTAAATGTTTCCATTTATACTAATTACTGTGCAGTTAACGTGTTGTACTCAGTGACACAATGCAGTGTATTTGGTTTTATAGCTGGGTTTTGTAATGATATTCAGACAATGCTTGGGGAAAGTGAAGGTGGAGAGGGAGGGTTACAGGGCTTGGGAAGGGGTGCTGGCAGGTGATAAATGCCCTTCACCTACCGCTCTGGATGAATGGAGGAGAACACAAAGACTGCCAGAATAACATCCAGGCTCTGAGGAGGGAAGGGAAACGAGGCCAACTCCTCACGAATGTCATGGACAAAGGCATGACACACAGAGTCATCATAGTCTGGATGGTCCTATATGAGGAAAATAAAGTAGGTTATATCCAAAACAGTGTCAATGTCACACAAAACTAATTGCCAAAAGTTGGTTCAGATGCAAATTACTCCTACTTCTTCATCATATTGGAATTCATGCACAGTATAAATCAGGTTAAAATAGGAAAAAACTGTGATATAATGTTATCTGTGTAAGCTCAGTCATAGAAGCAAAATACAACTTATGTCACAAATCTTTTTTTTATCAAGTATTACAAGAAATGATTTAGCTACTGTCAAATATAAGTCAAGTTAAATATTGAATAGAATAATATCAACTGGACCCCAGTAAAGAAAAAAATGTTGGCAGTTCACTTGTAATGGAATATCTGACTCCCATAGTATAAGGACTGTAATTATGGCACAATTTGCACAGGATAATCTGCAGATTTCTTGTGTATTGATGAAGTTAATTTCCATAGACTAAGATGTATACTCCTACTCTCTTTTTATTAATGCTGTTTCTGCACATGATGTCCAGATTTTGCTGAGGCCTACAGGTGAATTTATCATGTCTTGACTGGAATCTATTAGCGCTGACAAGACACATCTGCTGTAATCATTCTTAAACATCTTGTCTTCATGCTCTTATTTGAGTGAAAAATGACTTGTTCGAGATCTGCAATCTACAGGTGTTCAGTTAGAGAAAATGAAATGAAACACGTCTCACTATTTCAGGATGTTAAAATATTCAGACAGATTAAGGCAAGTTTCTATAAAATGAGTTGTTTAAGCTAACCCTAGCTCTTCCAGTTGAATTCACATTTAAACCTTTGGAAAAATATAATCTACTAATAACCACCTTCTTATTTCAGTTTCTTTACACACTAACTGATTCAACTGCTGAGTGGAGCTTTGAGTTTTGCAGTATTTTATATACACTACAAGCAATATTAGAAATGTTTACCTTGACCAGCTGAATGGCACGAGGGGAGAAGTCACAACAATACAGAAATGCATCTGTTTCCCTGTGAAATGAAACGGCCAATTTAACTAAACTAACTTAAACAAAAAAGTCATTTTATCTCTAGAGCAATATTCAACAAACTGGCTGACAACACGTACAACATTTCAAACTAATTTTTTTATAAGAAGATAAAGTGGAATATTAACTGTGCTGTATATAAATATCTTAAAATATGTACTCACTTTATGGAATTAACAATGGGAAATACACTGTTACCAACCCCACATCCAACCTGTGAAAAGAAAATATATTTTGTTGATAATTACGCCTAATGAAACATGGTAAACAAAGCTGTCAGTGTAGTTATTTAACACTTTTAGTACAGCAACGTACAGGCTCCTTCTTTTAACCTCACAAATGAGTAATTGTCTATAAACAACAGTCTATATTAAACCAATAACAATTAATATATGTGAGCATTTTTTAAAACCTCCAAGATCCTGAAAGATGCATGTTGTCCAGGGAAAGTACAAGTCTGTATGGCTTCGTCATTATTTTCTCGAGCTGTTCCTTCACAGTTGTCTGTATTTCTGTGAGGATGAGTGGCACCATTGTGTTGATGGTGCTGCGTCTCTGTGTCCCTTCTGGATCCACTACGTGGCAGGATTTCTGCCTGCTTATCACCTCGACACTTGTTGGTGACTTGACTTTTTGCACTTGAAGGAAGCAGTTCTGGAAATTCTAAAAACAGCCACTCGCGATCTTTGAAGAACTTATTCTGGTGCATCTCATAAAACTTGTCCCAGTACTGGAAAGCTTCTGTGTCAAATTTAACTGTGAGGAGAAAATTTGTGAAGACTTTTACCAATTATTGCATGTAACCCCAATCAGACTTAAATTGAAAGTTTTTTTAGGAATACATTCTTACCTTGTTCCTTTAAAGGAATATGTACACAGAAATTTTCTTCTGCCTTCTGCCGTGCATTCTCTTTGTACTCTTCTGTCCACTGTACATGATCCCTAAAATATAAAGCATTGCTTCCTTACCACACATTTCAGTGTGTCTGAAAATATGTTTCATGTATTAAATCAAAGAGCATCGAAAACATGAAGAGATAAATCCACAGTGTTTTAAAGTTTCTGAAAAGGCTCTTGACTGTAAACTTTAATTTTTACTCTGAAATCCAGAGCATACAGTATACAGATGGGTGACATATTAAAGAAATACAAGTACATCACTAACCACATGTTGTGCTTAAAGATGTCATCAGGATCGGTGAGAAACCGTGATCCCAGTGGAGCTGAAGGTCTTCCTCCGGTGCTCTTCAGTCTTGTGGGCAATCTGCTGAAAACTTTAGCCCATGTGGCTACAGAGAGGCACCGCAGTGTATACATTTAATCTGAAAAAATGCAAAAGGAGTTTAATACTTTTGGATAATCACCTTTACCGGCCAAGTATGTTACACACAAGGAATTTTTTCCAGTACAGAACCGAGGCAGCTATCTGCAGCGCCAACTCAACTGATGGCTCTAACCCTCCTTTCACAAAGCTTTTGAAATGTTTAAAGCTAAACAACTCTTCTATTGATACTGGGCTGCCAAATTTGTATTTTTTATTTTCAATGTCAATTTTTAGTTTAATAAAAATAAAGTCAAGTAAAAAAAAAAAAAAAGATAAAAAAATTAGACTATAATCAAAGAAGACTACTACACAGAAAGAAATATAATTTGGCATGCTCATTTAAAAATCTAAGAGCAACGTTTATGTTTTTATAATTTTATTTTGTATTTAATTCTACACTGACCTAAGGAGTTTTTACTTTAAAAAAAGAAGTTCAAAAGTCTTGATTTGTTCATGTATATCCAAAGCCAAAACATTGAAATAGCCTTGTTTTTGGCAAGATTAATACAATGTTTTATTTAAGACAAAGCACCATGTATCGGATTCTTTTGTGAATTAGAGAAAATGCATTGATGAAATGACGTAAAAATAAAGCATATGTGGTTGTTAGTATCCTAAGATTACTGTATGAACTGGGCACCAGTGTTTTAGGACATTTGAATCAATCAATGAGAAAGGCATAACAAAAATTACAAAGTTATATTAGAATTAATCATGAAACATCCCACATTTAAATATGGTCGCTGTTCACTAAATAGCATGTTTTATAAATGTAGACATAGGTCGATATACTGTACATCTATGCCCCCCCATGCTCACCAATCATGCGAAGAGGGCGCTACCTCTCAGGGAGGATGCCGTGCGCCTAATTCCATAGTAGAAGAAGACGCTTTACGACTATAGAAATGGTGCGGGAGCGTTTACTACCATTAGCTGCTAACTAACGCCGCTTAAGCCAAAGTTCTATATTATTGTACACTAAAGTATAACAGCCGATTGCTTCTCACCTCTGAACATCACCTCGGCTCAACCAGGTCATATTTTGGCGGGCTATAAACGTGTTTTGAATAAAGTTGAGGACATATGGAAGCTCTCTAACTCAGTAATGCTAACCTTAGCTTAGCTGTTAATTTTAGCTAACTGTAGCACTAGAAACAGGACAGCAGCCTCCGAAACATGCACTATGTGAACAATAATAACGTTATTGGACTATAAATCCAAAGCGTCCTTACCTGGTCACTACGGTGGTGTGTTACCTCGGCTTATCGTCTATTGACATGCTACCAGACGATCCTCTTACAGAAACAAGTGCCACCCCCTGATGGCGCCG